TTGCGGCAATGAACGGAGAATAATCCAGCGATTCTAAAGACGGTGCTAGATTTAGCTCCATTGGAGAAAGGCGAAGGCGCGGCTAAACAACCATGCATATGGGTGACGGATTCTGAGGGCCTACCGAATGGTGTTCGAGGCGGTCACTTCGATTTTTCCGCGAACTATTGAGGTTATTGATTCTGCTAAGAAAGTGTTCAACGAATTGTCCAAGAGAGGAGAAACGAGAGCAACAACACTTCTAACTTCGATTACTTGTTATGCCAACAATAATCAATACACCCTTTTATGTTATGACCATATTGAATAATCTGAGTAGAAGAGTAATTGTTACAGATGAGGTTCTTCTAGTAGAATCTACTTTGCTGAGTCTTCAAATTGCTGGAGACGTACTCTTGCACATACCAGAGGTGTTAATGCATATATGGAATTTGTATATCGAAACCAGCTGGTGACTCCGTATTGGTTTGTTTCACAGATATGAAGTCTCCTCCATTGGTAGTGGAGGACCAAGTCCAGGAAGGTCATTGCGTGAATAGAAAGCTTTGTGCATAATGAGTCTACACGTAATAAATCTCATATCTCTACTCAGTTAAATATATAAAGTTCCCAATTCTATACCCTCAAGACTCCTCAAAAGAAATTTAAGCCAAAAAAAAGGACGAATATTTTATATAACTAGACAAACAGCTGGTACCGTGAAATATGTCTATTAATCTTCAGAAAATGAGTTAACCTAATGATAATAACAAACATACGATCTACGAAATTGAGAGATCTTGGATATTACTTGGACTTAGCCTTTAGTCAGTTGGACCAGATATAAGGGTAAAGGTCTTGGATGGCAACGATGGGCTGTCCTTTTCTTGGAGTCTTGCTTTCACGGTCAACACAAGTCCAACTGGACTTTCCACTTTTGACTTCTTTGGCCGACTGCACTAATGGGGAAATATAATTTTGTGTGCCCCTCCTTGTATTCTTGGCCGACTTCAACTACGGAAAATCAAATTTCCATATATTCGTTTTCGAACTTTCACGGACTGAGTAATTCAATTCGGGTCATTCATTCAACGGGCTCAAATTCGAGACATATTTTAACAGGTACACCACAACTAGGCCTTAGTTTAATGTATCTTACAATGATCAAGTAGTCTTAATTTAGAGCCTAGTGAGATATAAAGATGCTGCTCCGGAGACCGAATAAGTACTCCAAGAACCATAACAAGTCAAAATTAATGGGGGCTTTAAGCCTTAACATAAAATTCATATTGACTAAATACACAGAAAATGATGTCAGTGGGTTCTTCAATTTACGAATGTCATAGGGCTCTCACCTAGCTTTAGAGATTGTATTTGTAGGGTTAACTCCACTTTAACCTATAGACATTTATTTATTTTTATTTGTTTTGCTGTCTCAAGATACAAATGCTTCATAGTGGTATTGATAATGGCAAGAAAAAGTTATTATGAATGTATCATGTCCTCTCAATCCCCTATATGCCAAAACCACCTCATTTTGTAAAATGACACAATTGCCCTTAATTATTTAACTAAAATTTAAAATGGTGGACCACAAACTTATTAACTTTCCTTCTCTCTTTTTTTTTGCTAGTTCTACATAGGATCTAGTCGTCCTCAATTCATGTTTTCTTTTTTCTAAAAATTTTAAGTGGAATTACCATGCATATTAAAAGCACTATTTTCTCTATTTGAATTTTACCATTGTACGTACTAGCTTTCTCGAAGAGAGAATTTTCTGAAAAATCTAATTCTTTTTCTAGTAGTCAAGCAAATTTCTGGATTAATTGTCAAGAAAAATTCTAAAAATAATTGAACATCAACAACTTTTAAAACAATCAAATATTTATAAATAGTTTATTTTTATTGTGCATTTCACCGCTTTCTTGTAAGTTATCTTTTATATTCACATAATAAGCCGATTGAATGAAATAAAAAGAAACTCTCTTAAAGAATTGTCATAATAAAATCACTATTACATTCCCTAATGTGGATAAAAGATAAAACTTAATTAAAGCACAACTTTGCAAAAATAAATTAAAATGACGGTTATATTTAATTCGTTTTGAATTGACAAAAAGAAGAACAACAACAAGAAGAAAACAGAGCAGGAAGTAAATTCGCAGCCTCTATCTTTCAGCCAAATAAAAAAGTCCCAACACCTAGCCCAGCTTCTCAATTTTGATCATTAAAAAAAAAAAAAAAATACGTGAAGCAGACTGCAGTGAAAGCACTCAAAGGCAATAATATCATTTTTCTTTTTCTTTTTTTCCTGAAAATTGGAGGAAATACGTGGAATTGCGTTTGTAGCCCGGAAAGAGCTTTATCGGTTACTTCGCGCCTTACAAAAAAATCGAACCAACCTAGAATTAACTTGAAGTCTTTTTTTTTTTTTGATGACCCGGGAACCGCCGTACAGCCGACAGCCGGCAACGTAAACCTGGGGTGACGCTAGCGCAGGTCCCACCACCACGGCGCCATACTTAAGAATCCCTAACGACTACGCTGGGATTCGAACTCCCCACCCTTCGTGAGGGGCAGAGAACGCGAACCAACGCAGCCGCTGCGAGCGGTGGTATTAACTTGAAGTCTTTCATCTTCAGTTTAGCTAAAAAAATTTATCTCATTGGTCGAGCTCAACGAAGTTCTTCGTGGTCATGGCCGCAAGCTCAATGAAGCTTTCACGGCCATGGTGAAGCTTGATTGGCCATGACTGCGAGCTTGAAAAAACCTTGAAAGCCGGAGTGCCCATGGTCGAGCTTGACAAAACTTGAGCAAGCTATGGCCCATGGCTAGGAGCTTGAAGAAGCTTGAGTGGCCATGGCTGCGAGCTCAATGAAACTCCAATGGCCATGGTCGCCAACTTGAAGAAGCCTAGAAGCTGAAGCGACAAGCTCGAAAAAACTCAAGTAGCCATGGCCGAAAGCTTGAAGAAGCCTGAGAGTTGGTAGTTATGGCCGAGCTCCACGAAACTCGAGCGACAAGGTTTTGCCTTTTTTGCCCCCTTAAATTCTTATTTTTTTATTTTTTAAATTTTTATCATTTTTCCTTTTATCCTATTTTAATTTTTTTAAAAAATCTTGCTATCCTTTTTTCTATTAAATTTTCAATTTTTTTAATGTAACGCTTGGTGGAAGCCATATTGACGCCGTTTGTCTTAAAAAAGAAATAGAACAAAGGTCACGTCCACATTTTCCGTTAGTTAAATTAGATAGAGTTAATTGAAGGATTTGATTGCACAAATTTAACAAATTTTAAGATTTAATTGTGTATTTTGAAAGTTTAGGGACTCGATTGCATTTTCTAGTGCACTTAGTCCTATTTGTAGATTAGATTTCCAAATACTTTTGCACATGGACCCGGAACATATAAAACTAATAAATCAAGTGATTCGATATAGGATCCACGCAATGTAACGGATCACATCCATTAAGCGCATGTCTATACGATAAACTAAATAAATTTTCACATACATTCCCGCAGTCCATCGTTATCATTGAACATTCAATTTCTACGAAAAACTTGATTGATTTTATGTCACGGTGATTGAATCAGCTGTGGTGCCTGCCTTCTTATCTTTCACTATCGTGTCTTTAATTCGCAATTAACTTGAAAAAGGGTTTGTATACTTTTCCTTGGAAAATTTCTGGGTCATGACGAGCTTTAATGACCGCGTGAGAGGATAAGATGTGTCTCATCTTTGAATTGAAGAGGTCCCCAGCAGAAAATTAAAGTGTCCTCCATTTGTACTGAACATTTGCATGTGGAAGTCGTTTAAACCTGCCTTAAAAAAGTAATAGAACAAAGGTCACGTTCACATTTTTCATTAGTTAAATTAGATAGAATTAATTGAAGGATTTGATTGCACAAATTTAACAAATTTAAAATTTAATTGTATATTTTAAAAGTTTAGGGACTCAATTGCACTTTCTAGTGCACTTATTCCTATTTATAGATTAGATTTCCAAATACTTTTGCACATGGACCCGGAACATATAAAATCAATGCCTTCTGATTAATAAATCAAGTGATTCAATATAGGACTCACACAATGTAACGGATCACATCCATCGAGCGCATGTCCACACAATAAACTAAATAAATTTCCATGCACATACGTTCCTACGGTCCATCGTTATCATTGAACATTCAATTTCCATGAAAAACTTGATTGGTTTTATCCTGCAGTCCATCGTTATCATTGAACATTCAATTTCCACGAAAAACTTGATTGGTTTTATGTCACGGTGATTGAATCAGCTGTGGTGCCTGCCTTCTTCTCTATCATTTTCATGTCCTTAATTGTCAACTAACTTAAAGAATGGTTTGCATACTTTTCCATGGAAAATTTCTGGGTCATGACAAGCTTTAATGACCGCGTGGGAGGATAAGATGTGTCGCATCTTTGACTTGAAGATGTCCCCAGCAGAAAATTAAGGGTCCTCCATCTGTACTGAACATGTGCGTGGGGACTTGGAACGTTTCGATGTTGGAGGGAAGTGGAAGCTCAAGTGGAAGTTGTTTAAATCTGCCTTAAACAACCCGAATGGGTCTGCTTCTGTTGTGGATTCTTATAACACTAACAAGATATCCGTGCATCATAAGAGCTTAAGACTATGTTTTTAATATTATTCTAAATTATTGACAGTTAATTAATTTTGCATTCATTGATACTTCAAGTTAAATATAAGATATATTGAACGTTGATCATTATTGTTTTGATCACGTTATCAAATTGAACGAAGTTGTCTTCTTTTTTCTTCAATGAGTCCAAACAAATACCAGTTTATGTGATATCTCTTGGCAAAACAACACTTATACTAAAAATCAATAACATCAATTTTTTGTTATTTATCTCTCGTTTTTTTAGAAATGATACTTGGGGAACGCATATTTCCTTCATAACTTTGGTGAAATCACTAGTGGCTTATTTTTTGTCGATCTGCTTATAATCATTTTTTTAATCAATTTATAACATTCATCTTATAATTTTCATCTCTCTTTTGGAGAAGTTCTGGGTCAAGTCAACGGCGATAATTACGTGTTCCGTGGAATTGGCCGCAGTAGACTTTGAGTTTGCCGATGGTTTTTTTGGTGCAGTTGGCCCAACCGTAATAATCACTCAAAATGGAAAGACTCCGCATGTATAAATGAAGTAGATGACCCTCGCAAGTTTGCACATGGTGAAGCAGAAGAAACAGATAAACGCACAAAACACCATTATAAACATGAAGTGTCTGTTATTGTGTATGTGGACTTGGGTGCTGTTGGTATTGATGGGAAGTGGAAGAAGCATGGGGTGCTTGGAAGAAGAGAGGAATGCACTGCTCATGATTAAGGCCGCCTTCAACCACCCAAATGGGTCTTCTCTTCCGTCGTGGCGCGATGGCAATGGTGACTGTTGCGGCTGGGAACACGTGGACTGCGATAACACCATTTCGCGAGTGAGTGGACTATATCTGAACTGGACACGCCCAAATGAATTTGGAGAGCAATTTGGGGAATTGCCTAGGCTGGTTATTGACGCGTCTCTATTCCTTCCCCTGGAGGAACTTCAAGTGTTGGATTTAAGTGGGAATTCTCTCTCGGGTGAATATCTCTCTCTCAGCTATTTGTTCCTTTTGTCTTTTTTCAATTATGTCTCTATGTAATCGTTTACTTACCGTTTCTGGATAATGTAAAAATGTCATACGTGGGTGCTTCAAACAACAAAGTGGATTAAGTGAATTAATGGCAAACACATGATTGCACAAATGATGCAATTCTTAAAGTAGTAGATTGCACATATCATAAAATAATTAGGAGACTCATCTCCACAATCAGGATAGGTACGAAGAGCGAAAATAGAATCAGCTCAGTAGGCAATGATTTACCAAATGCCGACTTTTCTGCCATCATAAAGAGTCTGACTTGTTTGCATTTTGCACCCTAACAAAGTTGACTTGAAGGGCACTTGTTTGGAAGTGGACTAAAATCAACTTAATACTTTTATTTGTGACTTTCTCTCAAGATTCAATATAAGAAAAAAGAAAATCAAGTTCCATCAGATTATGAGAGAACTATATATTATTCTACGTATTAATATTTACATGTTTGGAAATGTTTTGAGCGTTTCATGGTAATTAAAAGTCAAATTGCGAGAGTGATAAGGTTTGCAAAAAATTAAAATTGAAAATCAGGAAAAGTAGATTGATAGAGGGGATTAATTTAGAGGGAAGAGAAAGGACCTTAAAGGTAGTGTAGTGTTTGGATAGAGGGAAAGAAAGGGACAGGAAAAGAAAGAGTAGAAAATATTAGGAGGAATTATGCATAGTCATGTGTCTTTTAAATCCCCCATATAAAGGGCTTTGGAGGGACTAAGGGGGACCAATACTTTTATCATACATCATTTTTCTTTCCCAAATATACCTTCGATGCATTTCAAATTGTAAATACATAATTATATATATAAAAGTACAATAAAGCGATAATGCATCATTTCTTTTCTTTACTCTCTAGATCATTCCTTTTTCTAGTATCCAAACAATAAAATGAGGGTACATTTTCTCAGCTCTACTAGTGTTAGTTAACTACGTATGATCAACATTGTTAAGAGTATAAGTTACTTGTTTATTAAATTGGTTTACAAATTCATGTGATAGAGACCTTTTTTGTGCTCGAATATGTCGAACCAATTGGTTTCTGCTTATAAACCAATTCTCCTCGTCATGAGCATATAGTTATTATCGATAAATTTAAGGTAGTTAGACATCTGATATCTACAGAGAATTAATTAACTATTGGATGTGCATGAGTTTTTTCTTAACCAGATTTAAAGGGAACGCTACACCTGAGAAAATTGAAGAGGCTAGATCTATCTAACAATTATCTACAACGAGTCCCTTCACTGTACAAGCAAACTTCAGTGGAGGCCCAAAATTTATCTTCCAATCAGCTTGAAGGTACATGTAAAATAGAAGACCGTGCCTTGATATATAAAGTTCGATTTTGAGAACCTTTGTCAATCACAGGTGTGAATCTGGAGGCGTTGGATCTTTTTAGTAACAATTTGGTGAATGATGCCCTCGTGGACATTGCGAGGATAACATCTCTTAAGGCCTTAGACATCAGTTATTGTGGACTGAATGCTTTGAAGTTATTGGAAGGTACTTCTCTGAAAGTGCTTTCATTCACCTTCTTAAGAGAAAATAAGATAAGATTACCTTGAACATAGAAGGCATGACTGCATTATATTTGACGTCCACTTGATCTTATTTTGGCCACACATTTTCTTCAAATAACTTAGCGCCAACGACTTGCATCTAAGTAAATGATATCATATAGTTGTTTGCCTTATGCTTGAAGTGGGAAGGATTTAGTTAAATGTCTATGGAAGCCAAAAATAAACCCATGTCATGCTCAATGTCTTTATTGTGGGATCATGATGTCGGTGATCCTAAGAATTTTGGTCATTTTCAATTTAATCCCTGATCTTTAAATATTGATGTTTAGGCTCCATGCTTTTGCATTTGTGAATCTTTTTTACTGGCCAATCTGAAGAATAGTGTGATAACATAACAGATGCAAGGAGTAATTGCTTAGAAGATAAAAATTAGTCAAAATAACAATATACCAGAGGGGTTCAAATGTTGTGCAGGAATCATAATAAAATTTAATGCAAAAGTTAATCGGGAATCAAAATCCAAAAATTCCTTACAATTTACATATTAAACCACAGTGGTGGTCAAACTTCAGGGATTGCAAGTGTTAATAAATTCAACTAGGCCATGAAAATTATATAAGAAACTGAAAATTCGTACCAGTAAACTAAGATGCATAAAATCAATCAAAGAAAGCATTTCTAATAATGGATAAATTAATTAATTTGAAAAATGTTTTTTCCATTAGGATAAACAATGTATAGAATAGAATAAATAATTACAATATTAAAAACTCATTCGGCCTTAAAAAACCTCGGCATCTTTTGCACCAATGTCTATTGCTGCCTCCGCCCACTACGGCACTCATGTCCATCATCACACCACGAAGCTCGGTCGCCATTACCACCGCCAGAAGACCTTGCACGACCTTTAGTGTGAACTACGACGACCTAAGATCTAAAGTGTGTCCTCAATTTTGAGGCCGTGATGCTCAAAATTGAGGTCACACGTCTCAAATCTAAGGCCCGGAGGGTGGAATGGACAAGAAGCGAGGTGGCAGTGATGGACAGCAAACTGGGACGATAATGTGGATGGTGGTGGAGGGCGGCGGGTTGCGGTGGTGAGTCGCGAGTCCAAATGATGTTTGGGGGGCCTCCACTGCCGACTTGGCAAGCATGTCAGCCAAAAGATCACAGTGATCTCGCGCTGCACTAAATGGAGGATCCCATTGCATTGTTTTTGAAAAGTACAAAATTAAATTGGAAAAAAAAAATCAGAAACTATAACGAAAATGGAGCCAAGGTTTAGAGGTTGCCCATGCAATTAACCCATAAATTTTATGAATAGTATCAACTTTAGAGGTCATTTCCAATCCAATTCAAAATTTGTCAAACTCCGGAAGTAATTAATTTAATGTGAAGAATAGTGGAAATGAAGCATCGTGGTGATGCGACTCCACTCCAAAGCTCCATCTTACCAATTTTTTCTGTTTGTATTTTTGGATATTAGATTGCACGCTCTTTCTATCCTCCATTCTCGACACAAAACCATGAACTTGAGTGTTTTAATCTTACAAAGTACAATTTAGTGACGATACTCATAGTTGCAGTGTCCATTTCAACAGGCTTGTGTGGATTGAGGAACCTTGAAGAGTTGGATATCCGTGCTAATGGATTTTGGGGTCCTCTTCCTTCATGCTTCAGCAATATGACCACACTCCATGCGCTTGATGTTCGTTATAACAATTTTAGTGGGGCCATTCCTTCGTCTCTCCTCTATAATCTCAAGTCACTTGAATATATTGCGTTATCTGGAAATGTATTTGAAGGCTCACTTTCACTTGCTTCCTTGGCTAATAATTATAACCTTGAGGAATTCCTCCTCATGGACAACCATAATAGTTTGGTAGTAAATACAGAAGAGCCCACTTGGTTTCCTTCATTTCAACTTAAGGTGTTTAGTTTATCAAACTGTGTGCTCAACAAAGACGCAAGTGGCGTAATTCCCAGCTTTCTGAAAGAACAGCATGAATTGACACATGTTCAACTCAGCCACAATGGAATGACAGGAAACTTTCCAAATTGGCTATTGGACAACAATGTAAATCTAGAACAGTTCGTACTCAGAGGCAACAATCTGTCAGGTTCATTTTATCTGCCTTCCAATTTGAATCTTTTCAGCTTATGGAGTTTCGATGTGTCTGCTAATTTTATTGAAGGAGAGCTTCCATCTCATATTGGTTCTATCCTCCCGAACATTGGCTATTTGAATCTGTCAAACAACAATTTGAAAGGTGGAATCCCTTCCTCAATGGGCAATATGCACTCGTTGTCCACATTGGACTTGTCGAATAATGGCTTCACAGGAGAAATACCAGAGACATTGGCTAAAAATTGTTCGCAACTTGTGGTATTGAAACTGTCAGGCAACAATTTGCAAGGCCAAATGCTACCGAGGTATTCTAACTTGACAGGCTTGAAATTTTTGTATTTGGACGGCAATCGTTTTACAGGGGACATATCGCCTGGTATATTAAATATCTCCTTCTTGCAAGTTTTAGATGTAAGTAATAATTCCCTATCTGGAACACTTCCCAATTGGATTGGAGATATTCAATACTTGAGAGTGCTTATACTGTCAAGTAATTTATTGGGAGGTCCTTTACCGTTGAGCTTATGCAACTTATGGTATCTCAATCTTTTAGACCTTTCAAGTAACAACCTTGGGCCAAATATACCCCCTTGTGTCAATGTCACAGTTACGAGGTTCTTGCATTTAGCAAATGACACGCTTGTTGGGCCTTTTCCTGAGTTTCTGTCAGGAGCTTCATCGATTGTCACGTTGGATCTGAGAGATAATGTATTGTCAGGTGAGGTCCCCAGCTGGATCGGTTCACTTCGGAACTTGAAGTTTCTTCTACTACGAGGAAACAATTTTGAAGGTTCAATCCCTCTGAATCTATGTCTGTTGAAAAATATGAGCATATTGGATCTTTCCAATAATAATCTTTCTGGAACAATTCCTTCTTGTTTGAAAGATTTGACATTTGGAAACACTGTGTTATCTACGGAGGCATTTGCTACCTCGTTCCTTCATATGCATTACGGTGTCTTAGACTATAATGGCAGATTCGGTTTATATTATTCGTATGATTACATATCTGCTTATACAGAGAGATTCGAAGAAGTACACTTCATGACAAAGAGTAGGTTGGAATCTTATAAGGGCAACATTCTAAAACTCATGTCGGGAATGGATCTCTCACAGAACAATTTGACTGGCTTTATTCCTCCAAAGGTCGGCTACTTAAGTGAACTTCGAGCATTGAACTTGTCACACAATCATTTGAAGGGAACGGTCCCGGAAACATTTTCCAAGTTAAAGAACATAGAGAGCTTGGACCTGTCCTTCAACAACTTAACCGGTCCCATCCCTCCACAACTAATAGAGCTTTACATACTGTCATATTTTAGTGTGGCTCACAACAACTTGTCAGGCAAGATACCAGATCGAAAAAATCAATTTGGAACTTTTGGTGAAGCAAGTTATGAAGGTAACCCTCTTCTTTGTGGAGCACCATTAACCAGCTGTGATGACTCCGATCAGGAACAGGGGACACAACCACCTTTTAATCATACCAGGGAGGATGACTCTTATAGAGAAGCCTTCTTGTGGAGTTTTGTAGGATCATATGTGGTGGCATTCCTTGGGGTAGTTCTTTTTCTTTGCCTAAACTCATACTATCAGTGTGTGCTGTTCGAGCTTGTTCGTAAGCTTATCCCATCGTTTCCCCATTAGATATTGTTCTTCTAATTATTTTGTGATTGAAAAATATGATGAAACAGTGGAGAACCTTTATTTAATAGGATTGTAAGCATTTGAGTCTTTATTATGGATTGGGAACGCTTGGCTCCTAGGGTGTTCATATTGTATTCCTTGTCCTGCTAATTTGAATACTAGGAGAATTGATTTGGTTGTCAATTGAGAGAGGATAGTTTACTTCACAACCAAAATGAATCCAACATTAACAAATTCCTGTACATGTTACTCAAGATGTGAAATATCTGATGGTTGCAACCAGCAGCATCGAACCAACTGGGTTTTAGCGTATCAAGACAAGATCCCACTAACACAAAGGATTGGGCGCGGGGAATTGCTCCTATTTGACGACAAAGGCATGCATTGTAGGACCACTGTTATGCAGCTTGGGCCCACCTTTATGGTCACTGCTTGATGAAGATTTATAGCAAGAGAACGAAGCTTATCCAATACTTAATGCAAAATTGCTTAGAGGATAAGTTCGACTCTACTGGCAGAAATTTAAGAGCGACTGTCTTCTACATATGGATCAGGATCAATGATTGTGCCAGCATTTCTTTTCCCATCACCTTGATGTCGTGCTCAAACTAAACCAACATAGAATATTAGTCAAGGGTCAACCTAGTCACACCTTTTATCCAAAAGAAATATGGGTCAAGCTCAATTAATAGCCATCTTAAAAAAAAACAGAGAACATAATGCTGAGCTACATATATAATGGATACTGAATCAGGCAATGACGCAATGCAACAGTTCAACAGAAAAACATGAGGTGCTCTTTGCTAGTGCCGTGCATGTGGAGTTCAGTGGTGTTGAGATTGGCTATTGCAAAATAAGGTGAATCTCGTCGAGTTAAAACTCACTGGCAACAACTTGCCGGGTGTTTTTCATTGGCCATCTTAGTCAAACCTTGTGAATATGTGTTGGTTCAATGCATTTGCCAATAGGATCGAAGGAGCGCTTCCATCTTAGATTGATTCCATCCTTTCGAATTTGCAGTACCTAAACCTATCAAGGGACTCGATAGGAGTTAGAATCTATCCATCTGTAGGCGATATGAAATTGTTGTCGACGTTAGATCTGTCAAATAACAGCTTCCCGAGGGAGATGCCGGAGCCATTGGCCATAGGTTGTGTCACACTATCTATACTAAAACGGTCAGGCGAGAAGTTGCGTGGCCGAATGCTACCAATAACTACTAACTTTACAAGGTTGAAATATTTGTATCTGGACGACAATCAATTCATTGGGATATATCACTTGGCATTTGGGATAGCTCAGACTCAAGGATTTTGGATTTAAGCGATAATTTCTTGTCCAGACCAATACCAAACTAGATTGGAGATATTCAACTTTTGGAATTTCTAACGTTGTCGGAAACTTATGGGTGGTCTTTTATTATTGAGCTTTTGCAAATTGAATCCTCTCGTTTTTTATACCTTTGGACTAACAAATTTCGGTCCAAATATACCCTACCGTGCCAATATTACATTTATGAGGTTCTTGCATCTACAAAGTGTTGAGCTCACTAGGCTTTTTCCTTAGTTTCTTCCTAGAGCTCCGTCCATCGTCTCTACGAAAAATGCATTGACAGGTGAGATGCTCAACTGGATCTGTTTCTTCTAGTGAAAGGAAACCACTTTTAAGGTTCAATTCCTCTAGCTCTTTGTCAGTTGACCAAGATGAGCATACTGGATCTCTCTTATATAGGCCTTTCTAGAGAAGTTTCTTCTTGTTTTTAAGATTTTCAATTTGGAAATGGTGGGGTATCTAATAGCACATTCGATACTTTGAGTGAAAACGCTGAGTATGGCAGTGCTACTAGTACTAGGGAAAACTTGGCTTATAATTTTTCTATTATGGTAGCGGTACAGATGCTTTTTCGGATGAACTAAGAGAAAGCGACCTTCGTGTTAGAGAGTAGATTGAAATATTAAAAGTGCAACTTTCTAGAATATCTGCCTGGAATGGATCTCTTGCACAATAATTTGATGGGCTTTATTACACTAAAATCGATTATTTGAACGAAATATATGTCTTATATCTGTCGTATAATCATTCGACGAGATCAATTCTAGAAAAATTCTCCAATTAAAGGAATATAGAGAGCTTGGACCTTTCTTTCAACAAGTTAACTGGTCTGATTCCTCCGCAAGTGAGAGAGCTATACGCACTTTCACTTTTTAGCTTTGCTCACAACAACTTGTTAGGCAAGACAACAGACAGAAAAAATCAATTCAACTTTCGATCAAGCAATTTATCAAAGTAACCCTCTTCTCTGTGGACCACCGTTAATAAGTTACAAAAGCTCAAATGACAGTCCATGGGTGGACTCTGTCAACTGTTGACATAGGCAAAGATGATGTGTCCTGAAAAGAAGCCTACTTACGGAGGTTCGCCGGATCATACGTGGTGGCATTTGGTGGGGTCATTATTTTTCTCTACTTCAACTCCTATCTCAACGTGTTAAATTTTGTTTCCTTAGCAGAGCTCGTGCTTGCAAGCATTTGAACATCTCGAGTCTCCACTATGCATGTTGAACCCTTGGATTTGTCATGTTGTCTGTCTTTTCCTTTAAATTTGGATGTGAAGTATCACCAGATTTTCTTTTGGTTGTGAACTGAAGGAAAGATCACTGTGGTCACAGATACAATAACCATGAAGAATAATAATTCATAGCTATGGATGTGACTTGTCATCACAGATTGACGAGTGCTTCTCTGATTTTCCTTGAGAATCTCTAAGGTACGCTAGTATGTCTAACCGCCTCCTTTTTCATGACTCTTTACACTACCATTGAAGTGGTTGATTTTTCCGAAGCCAGATCGGCCGTCAACTGACTTTGCCAATACTTATCTGATTCTTCTTCGAGAGTAAGCAGCATTACTGCCAGAATGAAGCTTCGCTGAAGGTGGATATTACATCGTCTGAGTCTTTTTTTCCTTCCTAACAACTGCTCCTTCTCGGACTTCCAAATTCTCCATATCTCGCGCTTCTTTCAAAAAAAAATTGTAATGGCAGAACTTTGATGGATGCAGAGATTGTAAATGGGCTAAAGCAAGTTTCACGTCTGCAATTTCTATTTGCTTGCATCTGATGCTTTTTCCCGAACCCTATTAGGTAGACCCTTAGCAGTTCTATATGTTGTATTGGGTCATAATTTATCTTCTTAAAATTCACCACACAAAGAATTCATCACCCTCCTGCTCTAGCTTTTTTCTGTCGTGTAGATGGCGATACAGCGCTTAACAAACTATTCTCATGGTGGTGGTGGTGGTATTCTTTAGCCTAAAAAAAAGAGAAAAGTAATAGTGGTCGAACTAAAATTATAGAGCAACTACTCACCAACAGCTCAAAATAAGATGAAAGCAGAAAAGATTATTACCTGAATATGATCACATTGTAAATCAAATCATCCATGGAAAATGAGAAAAATATAACAAATACAATGGGCATTCCACTTCTTTATAAATGGAAGCATCTCCTCTGTCATGGAACGCCATCTCTCCTTGAGGCTTTTTGACTTGGGGGTGTACACAAACTAACATAATAACATGAAACTCCAGCAAATCGCTCGCACTTGGTTCAATCGAAATGAATCGAATTTTGACTAATTTTTGCATTGTTACACAGTTCTATCGCGCCCGACTCTATCTCGCCACTGTAAGAGCAACAGAGTAGCGCCATAATGAACCAAGGCACCCATGATCACAAAATCGTGAAATATCTGATGGCTGTGACCAGCAAGGTCGAACCAACCCGGTTTTAGCCTCTCAGTAATCCTGCTAACATAAATAAAACAAAGTACCCATAATGTAAGACAGTAACACGGCCAACTCATAAGCAAGCATGATCGGGCGCTAGGAATTGCTCCAATACAGGCTTGGATCGCAGGAACGATGCCAAAAAAACCCCATGGATGAGAAGTGCACCGCCCGAAACGCCCGAAATTTCCCAGAAGAAAGAAGGGGCAAGCAGTGTCACAACAGTGAACATCCCCATTGCCGTTATTCCGCCAAGATAGATCAGTTGCCACTGGGGCTCACATTGGAAAATATAGTAGATTGGGGGGAAGAATGAGGTGATGATCATGACCGTGATGCCGACGTAATCCATCTGCAGCAGCTGGATTTTCAAGCAGTGTGAGTGGCATGAGAAAAGATGGCAAATGCTGCTCGAGAGGAGACAGAACATGGATCCGCCTAAGAAGAAGAAGAACGGCCACCGTGTCGCGGCTGGTTGGAGTGAAGTGATCATCATTTCTTCTTCTGTTATCTGATTCAAGTTCACCAAAGAATTTGTACCCTGAAAACTATGTTGTGTTAGATGCATCTGTAGACTTCAAAAGAGAGTATTCTTTTCATAAGTTGAATGAATAATCGTTAGTGCGCCACTCACCAAAAGCAATTCCTTCGAGTAAGAGATATTAGTTCCTGCACCAGTAGAGTTTGACCTGCACAAGCAGATTTGCATATCAAGCTATTGCAAAATCTTTGGAAATACTAGCCGGAGTTCAATCTTCATATCATAATTTATAGTAAATGGTTCAATCCTGTCTGCCGAAGGGAGAGAGTAGGCCAAAATGGTGAAAGTGACTGGGCAGAGCACTAATTGAATAATTATGTAGCTTGCTTAGGCTGATAACTTTCAAATTCAATTTGACCACCAGCGTACTACTCTTCACTGTAAAAGCTATATACCACTGATTTCGTTCAGAAAATCTTAGCAGCAATCAACTTTCAGAGCATTCTGCAATAGTTTATTACACAGTCCCCCATGTGTGAACTTTTTCTTGACACACACAGTGCTACTTGCGTGGAAGATGATTGTCCATTGAAGGTGGACTGAATCCATGTTGAATTACCAGGAACACGGAAAGATTTTCCTATGGATTGGATCTTTAATTTATGTTTGAAAAGAACGAAAATTTCTATTAATACTTTGATCCATCACGGTAACTAATCACAGATGACCCTTGTTATCCACCTTAATTTTGCACTTGCTGTTTGAGCAAGA